AGGAATACATTTATCAGATGCACATTCTTTGATAAAAATCAAGTGTATTGTAGTTTTACATATTTGATATACATCAAGAAGTACTGTCGAGGTATTGTGTATTTATAGTAGTAAAGCATCATTATTACTTTATATTAAAGTGAGACACTTTTGATCCCTTTGGTTTCAAACGTAAAACGTTTGAATTGTAAGGTCAAATATGATAATGAAAATGTTGTTATTAAACTATTCACTTCAAAAAAGAGTAAAATGAAAGCGATTCAACTATAGCACTTGTCGACTGATTTGAAAGAATCACGTTAACGACAGATAGTCATTGTGTTTAAGGTTTCTGAATAGGCTTCGCCATAATATCACGTGATATTTAACAAGCTATGTTTCAGTGACGCCATTAATTAATCTACTTGAAAGTTTAGAAACACATTAAATACTAAATACTACTCATATAACCTTAAAGAAATGCAAAAATATGTCCTTTCTGTTTTGAATTATATTGCATTACAATAAATTCCGGTAGTGGTAGTTAAGAATAATGCATATTTAGAAAAACACAAACACAAAATAAACCTACTTGAGATGTGTTAGGTATTGTAAATCCAAGTGAGACAAGACAAGCCCTAAAATCTAATGGATCTAGTCTACGTGTCCTTTGTCGGTCAAAGTGATTAAAGCATCTACGACATTCTTCAATTTGTTGTTCTGTGACACCACGATAATCGTTAGCGGCTATAATGTTTTCAATTTCATTTTGACTACGTTTTATATTGGTTTTTAACTGTTCCCATCCAACACGAAGAGTTTCCATTGTATATCGTGTATAAGGATTATGGGTGATAAGGAATTTCTGTTGCTTCTATGAATTGAAGAGAAAAATAAGTGAGCAAAGTTAAAAATTGCTTCAAAACACTATATTAATCACTTTTACGAAGAAGCACCATAGTAGAAACTGATATGACTACAGTCTAATAAACTGAGTAACTTTTCTTCTCCCAAACAATCAAACACACGGTCCCAACGTCTGAATGATGTACGGGCCTGCCTTGTAACCTAAGTGTCCTGGGTTCAAACTCTGATGGGCGCGCACAGTTGAGGAGTCACAAACTAGGACGGAACAGCTGCCCAGTACTCCCTAGTTTTTCAATGGCTCTAACTGATAACAGTTCGTTATCAAACTTGAAACAAAGTAAACAATTCATTGTTCAGAACATCTGGACGACAAATCATTTTCACACAGAAATTATAAATAAAGTTAGTGTGATAACTTCTTTTTAGGGTAAGTATTGCGAATATTTCTCAGGGAAACTTTTAACTGCTAATCATCCTTTAGCGGCGACAATGCAATAGTGTCTCAACGGTTTAAAATTCGAGTGCCAGAAAATACCAGTGCTTTGGATGTGACAAGCCAGGACATTGGAGGAAATACTACCGGGAAAGAAAATCTTTTAGACAGTATGATGCGTGTTCTTTCTCTCCGATAAGACTGGAATTAGTGGGAGCAATCAAGAGGAAGGCCATGTATGAACGAATGGTCAAGAAGTTGTATGTATAATAGAGATAGGAACGACAGTCTAGCTAATAGATAAGGATCTACGTATGAGCGTCAAACTGTATTCACTGACATTTCAAACGGTAGGTAGGCACATGTTAAAAGTCACCGGTATGTTAGACTGAATTGTTCACTTTGGGGATAGCAAAGTAACTTTTTCATTCATTTTTGTGCCTCAATTACGGCGAACAATACCTGGGGTTGATTTTCTGCGAGAGGTTAGTGCAGTAATTAATACGAAGGAAAGGGTTGTGATTACAGCGAATGGATCGATCAGCATGCTTGATAACAGCGAGGTAGCAGGAATGGAGGTGTGGAAAATACCCAAGAAAACATTGTCAGTTAAAGAATACGATCATCTGTTCACTAGAGACGAAGACTCTTCCGGTTATGGTGATAAGTTTAGGCATGAAATTCCAGTGACGGGCAGAAAAATGACAACATCCGTAGCATGAAGAGGGCCATGTCACTTGGAAGGAGAAGTTGAGCACTGAGTGAGTGAGCTGTTAGAGGATGATATTACTGAAGAAGCTGACAACATGTATAGCTCTCCAGTCCTTATAGTGAAAAAAGGCAATGGGAAGTACAGATTGTGTTGATTTCCAAAATCGAACCTGCATAACAGAACTCAGACATTTTGTCATGTCAACTGTAGCAAAAACACTAAATGGTTGACAAAGTGCAAATCTGTTTACAGTTCTTGACCTCCGGTTAGGATACTGATAAAACAAGGCGACAGAGATAAGATAGCGTTCATTGTGGAGCAAAAACAATATCAGTTTCAACATGCAGTTTAGAAAGTTACCATGTGGAGCATGCAGAAGCTGCGTGAAAATGGATCGAAGAGTTTGGACTACCTGCAAACAAGACAAAATCTCAGATTGCCAGAAAGAATGCTACGCTGTTGGGAGATAAATTAAGAAGCGGTGAGATAGAACCAACGCCAAAGAAAATCTTGACAACAAAGACCGTTGTACCCCGAATTCGAAGAAACTACGATAGTTCATGAGGAGAGCAGCATTTTATCGTTAGTTCGTGCAAAGCTTAAACGAGATAGCAGCTCCACTGCATATACTACTAGGTGAATTGAAGTTTGTTTGGTCAGAAGATTCGCAGAAGATATTCAAGGGCGTCAAACAGTTTTTAGACCAACAGCAAATGACGTCAAAACTACGTGTATTTTGGGAACATCTCACGGTATTTCCTGATGTGAACGACCACAGAATAGAAGCAGTAATAAGACAGAGTGAAGGAGTTGTCTCCTATGCTAGCCATGTCCTAACATACACGGAACGGAAGCATTCAGCGGTCAAGGAAAAATAATGTTTAACAACAGCGTGTGCGTTAGGTGAATGGAGGCCTTATCTACTAGGTTAACCGTTCCACATCGGAACTGATCACAAGCCACTACAGTGGTAACAGACAAAGAGACCAGCTTGGGAAATTGTCGTGCTGGATGTTGCGCCTTCAGGAGAACAACTTCGCGATCTCTCATGTTCCAGGGGAAGAAAATTTGCTAGCAGATTTTTTATCTGAACCGGAAGATGAAGCTGAGTTACCTGGAGTTGCATTCAGAGCACATGCATTGTAACAAGATCAATGAAGACTTGCCCGTAGTCAAAGATCGGACCCTACCCTGAATATAGTGACACGGATGATCAGTGGTAACGTATCTGACTGCAACGCTGGGTGACACGGTTTCGAATCTCAAAGTGGACATGAGTTCCTTCAGGGTTGCAGATAGGCCTTGTTGACGAGTGCCAACGAGCACGAAACCTGGGTCCACGGCTTCTTGCCGATTGCCTGCAAGCACCTAATAAAAGCAATTCAGAACTCACCGTGATGGCGAGCCACCGAGAAAGCTGGCCACACTGCAAAATTGACTGACAGAATTCAGTCTACATCAACTAGACGCATGACACTAGTCAATTACTACGTAGAGTTCAAACACAGGAATGGAAATAAATAGACCTACGACGAATAGAGAACTGACCATGCTACTCAGACAGAAGGACTCATTACGATTAAACGTATACAGTGAGAGAATGATGGAGGCTAGTCGGCAGTAATACCTCAGTCCCTACTCAATGAAACGATACAAGAATACCCCCAGCTAGCATATACACAGGTAGTCAGAACAAGGAACCTCTTGAGACGAAGCATGTACTGACCAGATACGAGAGATGTGGCTAAATATGTAGTGGGATTTCCACAGTGTCAGATGATCAAATGAGATCGCCTCTGAAGTCGACCCTAGTTACGGCGGTAGGTGACTTATGGTCCATAGATGTAATGGGGTCTTTTCTTCAGAAATCCAGTGGCAATCGTCACCTTTTTGCGATGACGGAAAACGCTACGCGATGGGTAGACGCCGTCGCAATCCCGGACCCATGCGCTAAAGCTGTGACTGATGGAGTGCTTCGACACATCATTGCATACCACGGTGTACGGAAGACGATAGTGATAGATCAGTGTCCTTGTTTGAAAGTGAAGAAATTACATTCCGTTTGCAACAGCTAGGTATCAAGAAGACTAGAATAACATCATATTATCCACAAACGAATGGTTTGCGAAAGAGAAATAACCATACACTGAATGAGTGGCTGGTCTTAAAGGAGAGTCGAAGGTAGGGCTTCCATTGATTCTACTGGCACATGGTGCTTCAGCCCAGGAAATCAAAGAAGTCACCATTTCAGTTGATATATGGTGGGAAACCACGACTACCAATACACGACAAGACCTGTCCCCTTCACCAAGAGTGAAGTATGACGAGCTTGAAAACGCAACGGAAAGAAGCAGTTAGGAATGCGAAGATGGACGCTGAGAAATTAGAACTGAGAGAAAATACGAAATGCATCACCTTTTAAGTCTTAGATCAAGTAAATTGTAGAGAAAGAAAGTACACGGCTGGATGCCAGTCAGTATCACGGAAACTCCTGCCTAAATGGGAGGGACCATGCACTGTCACCGAGAGACGTGGTTCCGTTTATGCCATGAGAAGAGGAGACAAATAGAAACGTGTTAACACCAGCCAACCTCAGAGATGGATTCAGTGGGGTAAGCAAACCGATAACAAAACACAACAAGAGTGGGTACCATCAAGAAGGTTGGAGCGGCTCTTCAAGAAACTATTTGACGGAGGGACGAGTGTGGAGTGCGCTACTGATAATACTTAAAGGTAGTGTATAAACACCGATAAAAATATGTTTATCATTTGCCAGAATATCGAATAACGGAGAGATGGATTTAAAGAACGATGCTTGTGAAAGAACATGAAAAAAACATGAAAGGAAGACAAAGAAGCACAATCCCGAAGATGTCTGCAAATTGTGATTGTAATATATGGTAGGAGTACTTGGCAATATACGTACTTCAATTTGCCAATACTAAAAATAAAGTTCATCAGAATGCGCAGAAATCTCTTTGTTACTACTTAGCTTATTGACTAGAATACACACTTGCCCGATATATATTTCGATCAACAATTGGAACTAGACAGCTAAACTGCTTAAAAATGGTAGATAAATTTGTCCAAGGTGGACTTTAATTAGATGTACAGTTTTATGGGATGTAAGCAACAAAAAGCATAACAATATTATGTGTGTGATGAACGCAAAAAACAAAACAAAAACGGAATGGTTAACAGCTATTCTCAATAACTCACTTGATGAAGTTTTTCTAATTCATCGACTGTTGCTTTCCAGGATTGTAAATCTTCTTCAACTTTATTTAAACGTTGAAGTTGATCATCTAGTGAAAATTTGTGATTTGTGACAATCGAATGAATTAAATCCAAATTATGTTCTAGGTAAGGTCCAAAACGATTAGCTATTTGAGCAAATTGAGTATTAATCTTGTCATTTTCTTGTTGTTTATGAAGTTCCTGGCGTAAGGCATCATCTCTTCCATCGATTAATGAATACATTGCATCCCATCTAGATTGTAATTTCTTTAAGAAATAAGAGAAAATCACTTTGTTCAATTCACTTTTGTATATTTGCCAACTAGCAGCTTTTATACAGATTTTACCATATCAAATAATAAAATTACTAATAGGGTTACACTAAATACAGAAACAAAGGTTTACTTTGCTAGTGTCTACGTTTCTATTTAATGTTATGAAACAAATGATGGATTGTAATTAATACCTCCCACCACCCCCCTCAGCCTCAGTCTAAAAGTAAGAGGAATTAGAATTTCTACTGTCTTTACGGTATTTTAACCCAAGATACTTTCTTACCTAAAAAAACATTAGTGGATTTGTTGCAAACTTCTTGCAAAAAGATCGACTACTTAAAAATAATAATTTGCTTTATTCCAAAACAGTACTAATGTTACAGTGTGGAATTTTCAGCATTTCGTAGAATACTGAATCTAATTTTAATATATATCTATACAACAATAACTATATTTATAATAATAAATAATAATAATATTAGTAGTTAAGATAGTTAGTTAATTGAGGCATTGTTATCATAGATTACAAATAGGAGATGATAAAAGGGACAATTATTTAGCTAACACCACAGAAATTCATAAGTTTCACGCTTCACATTGTGTCTAGAAGAACATAGAACACGGGCCAAATTTGGCATCGTCGATTTTCTATACTTGGTAGCGCGAGCATATAATCTTTTGTACTGACTCCTAGTTCAGCCGCATGAGATACAAGGGGAGAGTTGAGTATCGAAGGGTGATGAGGGTCAGACAATATAGATTTAGACCATTTCTCGCATGAGTTCAGAGGCCAATCAACTAATATATTGACAAGCTGACTAAGTTGCACACCACCTACCCTACTGACAATCTTTAATACCCTTTTCTAAATGACATAGTCCTTTTTCAGTAGACCAGCAAAGACTAATGGAGAGCAATAAAGTACAATAGGCAAGATACTCGAGTTAACAAATTGTAAAAGCAGAGGTTGAGTGATTCCAGATTGTTTGAAATAATGCAAAAAATGACGGACTTTTCAATTCTGCACAGGGAAATATTCACCACGTACCTAACTACTCACAAGTAGAATACACTAAATAACAGTTTTTTTTTTAAAGAAAAACATGAATGAATCAAACATCAGCAATTCCATGAATCTAAAAAAAATCAAGTGAAATTTCACTTTCCTGGGGTTTTATCAATAACTACTTCAACATCTGACTGAAAGACAGACCCACAAATAATCGCGTGAAAAAAATTAATTTACCGATAACGAGTTATATGTAATCAGAATCCATACATGGCTTAGCAGTTTTGACATAGCCTACTCATACTGTCAACACTTAAGATTTTCTTCAGAAAACACGAGTATACGAAGAACGTGAATCAATACTATGTGGTAATACAAACGGATAGTGATTTGGTTTCCACTCAATCACATAGGATAGGATTTTAAATTGAAATATGTTTTACGTAATAGATAAAAAAATTCAACAGCTGTTTTACAATATCATTTGGTTTAATCAGGTATTCCTATGGTGCCTGAAATTCGCCCACACGACAATTGTAATGCTCCACAAGCACTGTTAATATATTTGTGATACAACTGTCATAAGAACTGGCGGCTAGGCAAATAGGTAGATAGTAATTTACGTCAATGTTTACGTCCTCAATATTGGTCGTGAGAAAAATATGAACAAAGACTGATTCAACAACCAACCACAGCAGACTTCGCGTAGGCGGATACAGTTAGCATATAGATGGTCTGCCATTCAAGAAACAGCCACAAAGAGATGAAAGATTAACTTGCAGTGAGAAACAACCAATCAGAAGACTGTGTTTTTCTGCTAACAATTATCTATAATAATGTACAAGAAAATCTATATATATATATATATATGTGTTGATTTCCTTAATAAACGATCTGTTGCCTGGCCCTTGTCTTCTGTTGTTACACAACAACCGCTGTAAGAACATTGGTTTGTGGGGAACAGTCAGATTCAGAGATGCTCATTAGTGACCGACTACAGGACCAAGTTGCCTGAGGTTCTATTGAGAAGTTGTGAGCAGCGGGGTCGACCAAGTTGGATGTGGGTACCAATACTCACCAACGGTGATACTAACGGGTGATTGAGTGAAAATCAGCTATGAGTAGGAGTTAGAATTCATGGGCTATTGAGTCGGGTCCCAGTGACTAAGTGCTCTACGAGCTTGCCTTGTCACTTGGAAGCTCCTGGATCCGAAACCCACTGGGTGCATACTGTCCACGACCCTCACTCTATGACGACACATCTGTCCAGTACTTCCTGGTTTCCAATGGTCACTTCTCTCACTCGTATCAATCTGTGATCAGACTTGAAACCATTCAAATCTCCACAAACTAACACTTGAAGACATACACATGAAGTACATAGTTTTAGATGGAGCTGGTAGTGAAAATAATTTCCTTTATAACTTTAAATTCCCGTGGGCTCATTCAAACAAAACAGTACTTAATAATCACTAAAGAAAAGTGATTCATCAATCTAGACAATCTATCAATGCATATCACGTCTAAACACGAACTAATGATTTTCACTGGGACATTATTTAATATTATAAACCCATTTATATTAGGTGTCCGACATAGTGTGTTGATTGAGAAAACCACGTATCGAGTGATTGACACTTATATAAACTTCTGAAGCTCTAAAGAAAAGCCAAATGTTCATCTCCATATTAACTTGCTTATTAGATCTATCACAAAGCGAGACAGTATTATTAACTGGATGACAAAGTTTCGAACACAATTTACTGTCCATAATCACATCGTTGTCAATGCTGGAGCATGTACGATTAAATCATGCCTAAAACTGACATGACTTAAAAAACACAGACTAAGGGATTTTCATCTGAGTGACTAAACCGTAATATGCTTACGGCAAACTTGAAGGTTTCCAACTCGTACCTAAGAAAAGTTACCGGTTCATACAAATGATAATTAACTAATTATGAAGAAATAACTGCACAGTATCCAACTGGTGGAAAGTATTCACAGAAAATACCTTTATGAATAATGGGGAAGACAGTTTTGATTATCAATATCATTACCTTAAATCCTTTTTAGTATTATCACTATTACCATTACTATTATTATCATCAGTATTATTCAGTTCGCAATTTCTCTGAAAACTAATTGTTTATTTAAGTGATATAATTGAACTGTAATGGATTTTATCGTAATCTCTCATATTCCCTTTCCCTTATCTATCTGAAAATGACCTGAAAAACACATTCACCCCGGTCGTTTCGCATGACTGATACAATGTAGCTCTATTTATTTATCAGTCTTATATCTCCCAATGTAATACTAATGCTATATATATATATATATATATATATATATATATATATATATATATGATTGTACAGCTATGAAAATGAAATCGTCGAAGGGAGAATTTTTTTCACTGAATTCTTTGTTTTTATGCAGCAATGGGGATTATTAATTTAAGTAATAATTACATATCACTGTGTTTCATTAAATGAAATTTTTCTATCATGGAACTATACACTACTAATTTTTATTCCTACAGTAAATTTAGACTATTTTGAAAATGTGGGAACTAAGACAATTTAAAGTCACTAATGGTGAGGTGATTCAATAGCGCTTTTATCTAAACTTCTTTTAATCAACGAACATTCATAGTACCATTAATATACTCATGATATTTTCATTTCCTGTTTGAACACTTTTTTACCTGCTTTCTTTAAACTTGTATACTATTGAATGGTATTTATTCGGCTGTGAAACTGTAATCTGTAGTGTAGTCAAATCGTGTAAGTTTAGATGTTATTTTATTAAAGCAACTAGCCGTTAAATTTATTAACTGTTATATCTTCCAGAATTTGTTTAATTAATGTCAATTTTGGACCTTGTTAGACGGTAAAAAAAGAGAAGAAAAGGATACACATCAATGATTTCAGTTGCTACCAATTAGTCAACAGAAGTGCTTAAGAAAAAAAGACGTCATGGAAGCAATTTTGCGGCCATAATCCATAGGATCATTAATTCAGTTTCGACACTTTACACTCATTTCGAATGCTGACTCTAAAGATGGAACTGTACGCTACGTTATAAGGTGTCGAAAATCTGACTGAAAACAACAAACAATTGATGTTCAGGTATTGGTTTGTAGGGATTTGATTGGTTGGTTACAGGATTTTATGAGCTGACATCCGTTAGAGAATTGCCAGAAGTTGGAATTCATAGGCCATTGGATCGGGTCTCAGTGGCTTAATGATTTACAAGCTCACCTTGTAACCAGAAGATCCTGGGTTAGTACTTATGAAGAGTCTCAAACCAGGACGAAACAGCTGTCCAGTACTCCCAGCTGGTTTTCTATTGATTCTCTAAATGACGTCAGCTCATGACGAAATCCTGTAAAAAAACAACTGATGACTACTTGGTCAACCTTTTCACAGTTAGTAGAGGGATAAAAACAATATAACAATTTCAACAATGTATTCAAACACTTGTTCATAAAAAGTAGATGACGGCACTTAAAAGTATTAATGAGTATAAATCGGATTAAAAGTAATTTATAAAATCAATAGTTAAACACTAATAACTGAGAAAATTAAAAACATCAGTGTAATCACAAAAAATATGAAGTTCTCAGTTGCTGACACACATTATCAGCTGAATACCACTCCTGGATAAGAAACTACAAAAAAGACTCATGTTTACTTTTTGGACACATCTTTTGGATTTAACACCATAATGATTTAACAGTTTTTAGAATTCAACAGCTATATATATATATATATATATATATATATATGCAACTTGTATATAGATAATCACCATAGTATTTGATAAACCATAGGTTGTGACTCATTCTTTATTTAACACCACTCTAAAATTAAGAACACTAACTAACTGCATAGCGCATAAGATTTTGCATACAGATTATATCCATTATTAACAGGTTGATAACTTATGCACGAAATACACGCAAAAAATGAAACAGCTGTAAAGTTCTAAATATATTCAACTTATTTTATCAACATCATTCTAAGCAAATTCCATTAATAAAAATTTACGGGTAAAACAGAGTTCAGTACAGAAAATAACACAGCTGAAAGGATAAAGTGCTAAAATATATGCGAATATACAAATAGGAATATTTCCTTCGATTAGACTAACAGATAGGTATCAGCAGACATTGTTGTCTACTAGACATGCTTCACTAAATCGTTAGCTTCCTAGCCGGTCATAAGGGCGCGTAAAGAGGGAGCGTTGGGTGTGAGACCAATGAAACTACACTGGAAAATCAATCCACTCACTACAGAAACATCAAAACACACGAAAAATATTAAAAATATAAGAAGCAAACTTGTTCTTCAAGCGAATCGGAGAAATGAAATCACGCAGGCCAGTGAAATCTTTCAGAAAGCCACTCAGACGATGTGTTTTCTTGAAGGTCAAAATAACAATGAAGACCACTAAAACAAATAGCAGAGGTAATAGTACATCTGCTATGGTATCAAAACAAAATTTACCAAGGAAGGTTTAATGTGATGACGAATTGTTTTTGAACACATAAAGGCGGTTTAAATTCGTCATCACATTAAACCTTCCTTGGTAAATTTTGTTTTGATACCGTAGCAGATGTACTATTACCTCTGCTATTTGGTTTAGTGGTCTTCATTGTTATTCTGACCTTCAATATGCCCTTTTAACTAGACCTACGTCTATTTTCTCACCTCTTAACTCTTTATTAATTTCCTATATATATTCCTATGACAAGTCTGTGTGTGATCAGATTGTCCGAAGTGTGTTGCGCGAATGTGTCTTCTATCGATGAAAGTAAAAATAGGGTTGAGGACGTGGAATGTTTGTACAGTGTGCGAAGTTGGGAAGACTGACCACGTAGCCAAAGAAATTAGAAAATATAGCATGCAACTCCTAAGAATATGCGAGAGCATATGGAATGGATGTGCAATATCAAAATTTTTGACTGCACAGTCAATAATCTACTCCAGTCACCTAGACAACAACCACGAGCACACTCGGCGCGTGGATATCACGACTTCACAAACATCTGCCATGGCTCCTAATGCAGTGGGAATCAATCATCTTCGACAGGATTATGACGGCTAAATTCAACTCAAAAGGAGAGAAGGAAGGTTACAGTTATCCGATGCTACGCTCGTACAAACAACTCAGAACATGGGAAAAAGGAAGATTTCTATGGACAACTACAAACAGTAATGGACAACATCCCAAATGAAGACATCAGGATCCCTACAGGTGATATGAATGTCACCCAACATCGGAGCGAACAGTGCAAGAGAACCCATCACGCGTCCAGAACTCTTTGTAGACTTCTACATCTTGAATAATTTAGTATCTGGAGGCAGCGTATAAAAGCAGGAGAACATACACGAGGCAGCATGGATTCCACCCGAAGGAGACACCAAAAACCAGACAGACTTCATCTCAACACTGTTCAAGGGAACAGAGTCGCAGTCTGGTGGACACAATGTCAAGAGGAGGAACAGACATGAACTCAGACCATTATCTGGGGCAAGAAACCCTCAAGGTCAGGTTGAGAGCCCTCAAAATAACTGCAAACAGACCACAATTCAAGTTAAACACTCAAAGAATAAAGGCCAACAGTACAAAAGATACTTTCACTGTAGCTATCTGAGCAAAGTTGGAGACACTACGTGGCATCTCCGAGGAAACCTGAGTAGAAGAACATTAAAACACTGTGAAGCTGATGTTCAAAGAAACCTGTACTACCGTTCTAGGATAAAAGAATAGGCAAGACAAAGCATGGCTCTCTACGGACACCTGGAAGCTCACAGAGGAGACGATGGCGGTGAAATAGATGAACCAATGAAAACATGGACAACAGAAGAACAAGCTGAGTTCAATGTACAGCGCACTCCATAAAGAAGTGAAGAAGAGCGTTAGGAGAGACGAAAGACAATTCCACAATACAATGGCAACTGAAGCAGAAAAAACTGGCTGCAGGCGAAAGGGACCTCAGAACATAATATCAAGTGACTAGTTATCTATCCCGGAAGACATCACAATAGATGAAACCAATAAAAGGTAATCAAGGGAACCCAATTACCAATCAGGAGAGATAAAGAAAAGAATGAGGTGATCACTTCAAAGGACTCTTGAATAGACTATCACCTGCAACTCGTCCAGAAGTACCACCACCACCAACAGCACGCACACAACTGTCTCCCAGTGGACACCAATCCTCCAATATAAACAGATGTCTTGAATGCCACGAAGACACAGAAGTCCAGGAGGGCAACAGAATCAGACAGAATTCCTCTTGAGACACTGAAAACGGACTTACAGATAGCAGAGAATATGCTCACGCCACTATCGCAAAACGTTTGGAATGAAGCAGAGGTACCTAATGATTAGAAGAGAGGCTACGTTGTCAAACTACCAAACAAGCACGACTGAGACCTCTACAGAAACTGGTGCGGAAGCATGCTCTTGTTCAAGACAAGTGAAATACTGAGTCGCGTTATTCTGGAGAGAAGAAAAACGAGCACTGGATGCAGAACTTCACCAACCGAAACAAGCTGCATTCTGGAAACGCAAATCATGTCCTGACCAAATTGCAACTTTAAACATCATCATCTAACAAAGCATAGAATGACAGTCAAACCTCTCTCTATCTCAACTTCATCGACTGTGAAATGGTCTTAGACAACGTTGACCGTGAAGTTGTTTGGAAACTATCTCAACACTTTGGCATACAGTGCTCAAATCTTTATCAACCTCATTAAACAGCTGGCTATATGACAAAGCCACCTGTCAAGTGATGCACAACGGAAACTCAGAGAGGCGTTTCAAGTGAACACAGGAGTAAGACATAGCTGACTACTATTGTAACAACAGAAGGCAAGACAAGGAATCCAAGGTATACTTCTCACTGATCAAACCGCTGTTTATATATATACAGTTTATATTCTTTAACCAATCACTGAGGCTGTGAATTAGGTTTACATCAAACGACATGAAATACAATGTTCAAATATACATAGTATGCTGTTGCCAATGCACTATTGAACTGTGGGAATATGTAAGAATAATATGGCACACATTGTCTGTATCGCACCACTACACTATAACCGATGATATTCATAATTGTGGTGAACGTGATTATGCAGCAAACCGTGTGTGGGGAGCAAGAAGACGAGAATACGTTGGATCGATAAGAACACTCTAAAGGACCTGCATTTCGCGGACGATTTATGTTTAATGTCACACAAACTCGAAGACTCATAGGCGAAAACTAACAAAATAGCTGCAAAATCAGGCAGCGACGGAAGACAGAACTTCAGCTGAACATAGAGAAGATGTAGGTGGCGAAGATAACCAACCAACCAACAATAACAACGACCAGTACCGATCGCAATCAACAGAAGAAATTTGAAATAGGTTACTTCCTTTACTCACCCAGGCAGCCAGCATCGTTTCAACTACATGTAGCCACATGGATGTAGATGTCAAAGCCAGTCAACCAGCCAGTCAGAGTCACAAAAGCAAAACAGACTCGTTGATTACTCTGAATGTTAGTTTAGAAATCTTCAGCACTCAATCAGCATCAGGAACAAACTTCAGATTTTCAACGTAAATGTTAAGCAAGTCAGTCAGTCGGCTCTTCTATATGGGTGAGAGACTTGCACTGGGTTTCACGAATAACATTTCTAACAGATCACTGTAGACTTTCACCAACTGCTGCCTTCACTAGCTCCCTACTGAAGATCAAATGGATATCCAGAAAGAATTAGCAACGGGAAACTCTGGGAACGAACGAAGCATTCAAGAACCTATCACTCAACAAATATATCGAAGTAAATGCAGATGGAATGGGCACACGCTGAGGTGACCGTCGAGTGACATCGCGCGCTAGGCCATCGCTAGAGTGGAATCAATCCGACAAGGGAATGATGAATTGGGCTGGGATCCGTGTGTGACATGGAGGAGGTCGACTGAGGAGGAGATGAGAGGTTATGGGGAATCGTGGGGCAAGCTGAAAAGGATTGTCGAGAATAGGACAAAGTGCAGATGTGCTGTTGAAGCCCTATGTTACACTAGGAATCCAAGGGAATAATAATAATAATAGACATGCGTCATGATGCTTTAATTAACAACAAAGTTACTCTCGACTAATTGGAATTAGCTTCAGATTTCTTGTGTAACTTATAAATAAAAACGAGAGTGATTAGTAGAAATATTAAATTAAAAAAGCTTCAATCATATGAAATTGATAGACTTACTGAAAAATCAATCATAGTATATGGATTTTCTATTAGTTTAGGTGATAAATTATGTGTTTCAACTAGTTTTTTCACTTGTTCCATCTCTGTTAGTATATCATTCAATTCCTTTTGTGCAGCCGGAAGTGTTTTCTTGAAGTCTTCATGTCCATTTATAAGGCACTGATTAAAAAAAAAAGAAAGAAAAGTATAAACATGTAATACCTCTTTTTTGATCTGTTGACTACTAAAAATACTGCGTTATGCGATAATATAGTTCCGTAAAATATCCCCCTGAAATCTACTGAGCCTTTCTGCAGAAGTTACAGACAGATAGATTTGACGTCAACGAAAGCAAATGACTCAGCACTGCGGAGAAACATGGGAGACGTGAAAGGAACACAAAGGAACACAATATGAAGGACAGAAGTAGCACAACACAGAGGATCTGTGCAAATGGTGATTTTCAAATAAGGAGGAAAAATAATTCCACCACTATATAGCGATAACAAATTGTAAATTAACATTCCTCTACCAAATCTCTCATGTTCTACCGTTACATATTTACTTATCAGGTCGGCACTGCCATGCACCCGTACCTTGACTGCTACTTCTCACTTCCGAAATTCCAGTAAGTCTTAGGGGTGATGAGAAATACTGTTATCAAGTGTTCAACACTTTTATAAACCGCCAAACATGAACTAAAATAATTAAATAGCATGTTGACCGTGAATGAGTTTAGGCTTTTCCACTAGTTAAAAAATTACAAGAGATAATTGAATAAATGAATTAGTGTTAGGAGATGTGCTTTTTTGTGGTTAATTTTATTCCACTCCACTTTATCTTAGCTTTCATTACAGTCGTTGTCATCACAATTTTAATTTTTGGCACCACTTAGGCTTACCGATTAATTTATCGCATTTCAAGAAAGTACATAAAATGTTGGGAATTATTTTAAATCATAGTTAAGTGATAATAAGAAGACCAACAAGATGATTGTCATTATTTATTGTTGTTACTCAGGTGTGTCAAACTGTTCCAAGTTGTCAAGGTTAACACTGATATGAAGTGAATTTTGACATATATTGTTAATAAAATGAATCGATAGTGTGTACAGCATACAACCCAGTATATGATTAAAAATAGATAAATATGTTCAGTTGTTTTAAATCAGCTGGAAAATGAGGCTTTTAAAAAGAAACAAAAATGCAATTCGATGTACTTGTGCTTAATAAATTAAGGATGAAAACAGAAAACTCAAAGTTACGAAAAACCAGTTAGTTTTCTTACCATTACATCGTCAACTTTATGAACAATGAACATATCTTGTAGATCTTCAGTTGCTTGTTCTAACCAATTATTAAAAGGCTTCACAAGAGAAAAACAAGCGTGAAACAAAAAAGAAATCAACACAATAAAATATTTTATTAAAAAAGCAATAGAGATTTGCATATAACTGATAAGATAAAGAATGAGTTAAATTCATTATGTGAAACCCTAATAGAGAATGGGTATCCATCAAGATTGATAAACAAAAATATGAAGGAAAAGCCTCCGTAGCCAAAAATCACAACTGCTCCTAAGAAAACTCTCTTCATGAACCTGGAAATCAAGGTGACATCGCAAAAGAAATTCTTAGAAACCGCCTTTCTAAATGTCTGAAGAAGACATTTCTAGCAACCACCGTACGCATCACACTCTTCAGCAGTCTAACGTTAAGGATAAGATACCGCTCCTGGCCACCCCAATGTGCATTTATCAGTTTACCTGTTTGTGTGGAGCAAAGTATGTTGGCCTTACGCAACGTCAAGTCCACAAACGTATTCTGGAACATGGTCCAACTTGGTTAACCAGAGGAGAATAGAAGAATACTAGCAGCTCCATCCTCGAACACCTTGTCAAATTTGGACATCGAGCACTCTCGCGTGAATCCTTCACAGTGCTACACAGAGTCCCTCAATATCGTAGAAAGGGACTTCGCATACTCTATCTGTAAATAGCTGAATAATTGGCTATTCGGGATCTGAAAGCGGATCTCTGCATTCAAAAGCACCACATACATTCCTTCGCCCTGCCATGGCCAGAATAACGTTCTCACCATAGTTTCGCTTCCTTTTATTATGTAATTTTATTATTATCATTCTCATTATCCTTATTTTATTATCACTCTACTAATGTTTATTAATAGCATTGAGTTTTCATACAGATTTTATATAATAACACTTTATCGTCTTTCCACTAGTTCCTGTCCATTCTACACAATTTGATTTCACCAATATCTGATTGATCTTATGAATTCTTTGTTAAATATAATTACTGTTGCACAGCAGCTTATGGAAATGAATTGTCGAAAAAAATTTTCTTTCTTCGCTGTTTACTTCTTTTTCTTATGACACAATAACATAAAAGTTAGCATAATAGGTCAAAAGAGCCACAACTGTCCATCGAAAGCTAGTAATACATCAGTAGCCAACTTTTTGGATTACACTCGAATAAATATAACTAAATGACATCACTATAAAAAATGGTCTCCGATTAACTAAAATAGTGAAAGGTGTTCAATCTCAAACCAGCAGTGGTATTTATAAACAGAGGAATGTATAGTGATAATTTTTAGATGTTGAGTCAATTGAAAAGGAGCCTCGAACTCAGATTCTGTTCTTATTGGCACAAAGTTTGTTTGAAACCTTCAGAAGAATCATATTCCCTTCAAAATATGAATCTATATCATCCAAATCATGGACTTGACTATCAAACTACTAAGCTTCCAACGGATATCATCCATAAATGACTCAACGCGAATTGTTAACTGGCTGATAACCACTGTGGTTGTCTGTGGTCTTGTGTCAGACGAAATCAGTTGACCAAGTGTGATGTGCAATGATATGACTTCCATTGAATGATGTCTATCAAGTATTTAGGTGTTTACTTTAGAATCTTCCAAATTTGTACAGTGTTTCCTCTTCACAAATTTACTTTCTATAAATCAATATGAAATTTATTATCTAAATATAGCCGACAGTAATGGAATGTAGTCACTTTGAGGGGAAAAAAGAAAGGCAGAAGGAATTTATTATTATTATAATCTAAAATCAATATGGTATCTAACACATCATTCATAAGAAGATGTGTGCAAAGAGATTTACATAAACAAACAACAGAAGAAAGTAGAACGGAAGCTATCAAAAATTCCAGGGAAACACCTTTGATTTGACAGTAAATTTGTTTTATGCATTCATATTGGTGAATTTCAGGAAGATGCTTTTAAGGAGGAAAAATTAATGTACATAAATCCGGAAATTAGAACGAGAATGTATATTTATGTATGACCTGTCAAATTTAATGAAATTATTATGTTATAATACATGCTGTCAGTAAGGCTTGAGCTGTGGATAAAACCAGTTTATACAAAGTACGATTGTTTTTTAATGTAAAAAACAAAACAATTTTCATTCAATTCACTACTAAATACACAATCCTAATCCGAGTATTATAAATTTATTGTGGTTTCCAGTGAAAGTTGATACAAGTGAAATGCATACTTAGGAACAAGAAGAAATCAACGAAAGTCTACCTTTTTGAAGGTAATTCATCAATAAACAATGCACACCTTAAAGAAGAACTTTATGGCCGAATAATGAATGAAGTCTTTTACAGGATATATAAAAACAAAAACGCACGACATAATGAAGCGACTTAAAAGCATATGACATCATGAACACACCAACCAATCCACTATTAGTAATTTAAACTTTATAAATGACCTCAGGATTTATCGATTAGTATTTCTATATACACATGTGAAACAATTAGTATTAAAATGAGTACAAATGAGGTCTTTAGTGGATTAATCAAAAGTATTTAAAAGTTCGATGATCTCTGTACTCTCTTCACTGACTACTCACTACACAAAAAGTAGTAGGTAGTTATAGTATCTTATTTATAAATTTTAAACGACAGTCACAGGTTATCCCATCATCAGAAATGCATTTAGAAGAAAAACTTCAGTCAAACTTGCCCACTTATTTACAGCAAAGAGATTAAAAAGTAGGTTTATAAACTCTTTTCTCACATTTGTCTCTTCATACAACACCCATACTAAATTTGCTATGGTCGAAGTTTTATATTTAGCTGTACGAGCAGAAATTCTTATGGAATTTTTCCTGATTTTACCCGAAGAGATATAACGAGAAATTTGCGAATAATGAGGATGTTCAGTACCCGACATTATGACATACTTTAGTCAACTGTTGATACGGATTAAAATGCCGATTTCAATTACTTCAGGCAAAGTTACACCACTAACCCTGCTTACAGCCTTCAGAGTTATGCACAATATAACATTATTTTTTTTTTCGAAAAGACCAGGGAAAGATAGGAAAAAAAATTTATTTTAAAATGATGACAGTTATGCGGATAGCGCATTCACTATCAGTCATTTGCTGAATCACTACAATCCGATCTTACATCAATGCTTTATTTTTGTCTACGTGTAAAATTGTCTTAACTTGTGATCTCCGGGTTGTAGAAATTTGATTAATTTGGAGGCAGATTTAGCTAAAAACTAACACTAGTCCGAAAACCAGAGAAAACAAAGAGACTGTTGAACATTCATTATGCTCCAGTTTGAAACTCTTCAGAAATGCCTACCTACAGTTCTACTGAGGACCAACGGAAAACACTAAGTTGCAAGACGAGCACATTACAACGTTTGACTTCAAGCACCTCGCATTATAGCCTCATAGTCATCGAAAATCATTCACTATTGTTTTGACAGTTATCAGAGCATAGTAGGGTCATGTTAAACTTCGCATTACTCAGTCAGCTTGTTTTTGTAGTTATCAGCACATTTAGATGGTATATAAAAATGAACTACACAAATAAGTTTATTTTTAAGATAGTGAACTTATCTGTTCGATTCAGCTCATGCCCCAAATAATACTATCATTACTAATATAAGCTATAAAAACTGTCTGGTTGAATGACTGGTTTCAACGTAGAACTTTGCACACCTGTGCAAAGTTCGAGTCACCACACTTCCCTTACGACACAAAGCAAAAGAAGAAAGTTAAAACAAATGCAAAATAGAGACAGTAAACAGACATATTAGGCAAAAAGAATAGTAATGTTGAAGAACAATATAGTTTTATTGGAAATTATAAGTCACAAGGAGTGGATGCATATGCGCCATTGAGCCATATCACCAATTGTCTCCAGCCTCCATTGGTTTTTACCGTCCTGAGGACCCCAACCAGGAAGCCAGTCTACACCTTCCTACGTGACTGGCTGGCTTAAACTAACTGTTGTGGAATGCATTGACTGATGAGGTCATGTTTTGGTTTAACAGCCACTAGCTCTTTTCCAACCAGACCCTATGTCAGCTAACATTGTCCGTCGAGGAAGGCGATGACTAGGCATGCATAACACATGTCCTAAAGGCGGAAATTAGCAACAGAGAGAATGAATTCATTATTGATTCTCATTAGCTTAGACTAGTGTAACACATTAGGTATGTGTTCTGCTGTGTATCGTTTTATCTATTGCTCACTTAAATTGTTTCATATAAGCGTTATTTGCAAATACAACGTTAATATATGAACGAAGTATACAATATGTAAAGTATAAATGATGCACAAAAAATAAAACCATAGAGGAATGTGTAAATAAATTTTAAAGAGACTATGGAAGCAGAAAAGGTGATGATTTCAAATTATACACCAGTAAAAAAGTATGCGATATATATGCATTAGAACAGAAAGAGAATAACATACAACCGGTTCCCTTCATTATTATTTTTGAACAAAGAAAATCTAAGCATATTTGCAGGATAATACGAGCTCGTTTTATATCGTGGATTCGCTTCATCAACTGCGTACATCCTAAACAACAAACAAATTTTAAGGTACATATTTGCTGAAAGTATTTTTTTTCACAGTGACTTCGAGTTATGAATAGAAGGCATGAGCAACGTAATTCTAAAAATGATGTAAGTAGATAAATTATCCAGTGTTAAAAGACTAATTATTCATACTGTAATTAGACAAAGGAGGTTGGGTTCACATTTAGCTTGGAAAGAAGGATTGACTAGAAATAAAATACAAGATCGGACAACAGAGTGAATTTTTACATATAATGATGGAGAGTTAAAGAGGGTTGGAGTGATTAGTAAAGTAAAATTATGACACAGACAAACAATAAAATAAATTTGGAAACTTAATAGTGAGTTCAACTCAGCAAAAGAAAATCAAAGTGAAATGTTAGCGAACAGAACAAAACACCAAAGCATATGGACAAAACAATTACGGCAATCCGGGTGGTGACAGATTAGTCACACTATCTTTCTGTATACAGAGATTGGGTCGAAGTCT